TGTGGTTATGATTGTACACCTCTTCTTGGTATGACAGGACTACTGATTTGAATGATACGTGAAGTGCCAATAAAACTGTTGTATAAAAGCTACAAAAGAATGTGCCTTGTCTTGGCAGTGGACGCTTGATGAAGTTAGTGTGCCTTGAGGAAGCAGTACGTCCTGTTGGAGAGGTCACGCGGCGAGGAAACGAAGATGACTCCCAGCCATGGCCAGCGAGGAACGGAGACTCCACAGCCCAGTCCACAGGGAACAGAACGGTGCCCACAGCGACGTGAGCTTGGAATGGATCTTTCCCAGACCCCGGGGGGCCCTGGCTGACAGCTTGACTGGAAACTTGTGAGAAACCTTGAAACAGACACCCTAAGTTGTGTCCAGTTTCCTGAGCTGCAGCACGTATGAAACTATAACCAGGTATTACACACAAACACACACACACACACACCCCACACACCAGTTTCACTGGCAACCACGTGCTGTTTTAAGTTACTAAATTTGGTAGTCATTTGTCATGCAGCAATAAATAGCTAATAAACCTATTTATACACCAAATCTAGGTTAAATGAAGGAAGGAATTCACGGTGGGTCACAAACAAATAAGCCTCTTTGGACCTTCGTTTTCCATTTGTTTAATTAATTTATGAATCACTGCACTATTAGTTCTTTCTTTACTTTCTCTGTTTGGCTCCTCACAGTTATAACCATGATAAAATTTACATCTGACGAGATAGCAAGACATGAAACCACCATGGCCCGGGAAACATTTCTAGGTTGGTGAAGAGTTCTGTATCACCCACGTCCACAGTGACAGCCATGTAGACTCTTAAGATAGCATTTCCCCTTTATGTTTAAAACTAGGATACTGCACGGTCCGGGTTATTAAGTTTATATCCACATTGTGATGCTGGAGCTACGATGCCACTGGTATTTCAAATACCATCAGGTACATCTGTGGTGGACTGGTTTCAGCAGGACTTCCATAGTAAGAAGACTAAGAAAGGCCTGGATGCCTAGGTCTAACGAGCAGGCAGAGAAACCCTCACAGGTCACAACAGAACTTGGTCTGATTTGCTTGCTGTGGACCCATCACTGGGAGGGCTCAATCATGGGAAGAGGACATCATGTTTAGTGAAAAAGGGCCATTGAGGGCGAGGGAGACCCTGGGAGAGATAGATTTGTATGTAGCTGTAATGATGAACTCAAACATATCAGCAATCATGGGAATGACACTGGAGTGGGCAGCCTTTTGTCCTGCTGTGCTTGCTCTGCTGTATTCAACAGCACCTACCTATACCCACCCATCTCTGTGATAGGCTTATTGTGCCAACAGGAACCTGTGGGCGGGGTTTAATCAGGTCACAGCTTGATTGCAGGGTCGCCGAGATGGACCAGTGTTCTGCTGCTTGAGCTAGTTCTTTGTCTCAACCTTGTGCTGCACTACCAGTGGGCTGAGCCAACCCACGGATTGTGTATAGCTAGAGCTTGAGGCTCCTTGGAGACCTTCTTCAACACACTCGAGGCTGGTGGGTCCTGTTGCAGTGCGAGATCCTAAGGTGCCTGCTTTGCTAAGCTCTCGAGCTACTGACTGTGGCTCCCCCACCCTGCAGTCTGCTCCCAGGGGGCAGACTCCGCCTGTCTTGCCTGAAGGAAGACTCCGATGTCTTCTTCCATGACCCTGGACCATGGGAGTTGAAGGAACCTTTGGTATATTAACTGTTCCACAAAAGTGAGCTGAACTGAGCCCTCTGTACTGCTGTGTAGACTAATTAGCCATTATATTCCGTTTTGTTGTATAAACCTTTCCTTTATATGTATATGTTTATATTTATATATATGTATCCTGGTTTTGTTTCTCTAGAGAACCCTGGCTAATACAGTCTCTAACCCTGCAGTAGGCTTTTGGCTTTATAAAACGATGCATGTAAATGCACACACACACATACACTCACACACAAAATCTTTTTAAAAATTTTTGCCACCATCTAACCAGCTCATTTTAAACGGACAGGAAGCATCTCTGCTAATCCCGGGCT